AGTGTGAAGCAGCCGTGGGGCACCCAGCCCCTGCAGGCGGGTGTGGCCCTGCTCAGCTCCGACGCTGCTCCCTCCCTCCCTCCCTCCCGGGCCCGCCCCGCTCTGCTTCTGGGAACTCAGCCGTGGCCAGGAGGCCAGTTTGGGGCGGCTGTGCCTTTGTGCCCAAGGAGCTGCCCGGAGGGGCTTGGCTAGGCTCCCGGCGGAGACTGCAGTGTGGGACACACACACCCCGCCTCTCCCTCTCTCTGCAGCCGGGAGGAAAGAGGCAGGCCGGAGCTGGTCTGGGATGACACTCGCACACCTGCTGAGGCGGCAGAGGCCCCGGGGAGGGGGGGGCTCCCAGCTGGTGCGGCTCGGGCAGCTGAGTCGCTGGGTGGCCGCCCTGGAGAACTGCTGAGGCGGCGGCTGTCGGCAGGAGGGCCGGCCCTGGTGTGGTGCGGATACAGCTCCGCAGCCCTCGCCTGGGGACTCTTTCCAGGAGCTCTCGCTGGGGAAGGAGCAGCAGACGCGCCGCTCTCCTGCTCCGTGCCCTGAGGACTCTTCTCTGGCCATGCTTGCGCCCGTGCGGACGTGTGCTCCGCAGATCCCGAGCAGGGCGGTTCTTGAGCAGCCGGATCCTGGCCTGTCACTGATGTGCCCTGGGAAGAGAGAAGGGGGGCCCCCACCCACCCACCCACCCAGGCCTCTGGGGCTTCGGTCCCCTAGTCCGGCTGTGCCCCCCACCCCGGTTTCATGCCAGCCCGGCCCTGTGCCGGCTCCCCCGTGCCCATCTGTGTGCCAAGAAGAGTGCTGCCCTCAGCAGGACCAGTGAGCCGTGCTCTTGGCCTGTGCGTTTCTGGCCAGGGGCCGCGTGGGTTTGCCCGCCCGCCCCCTCCCGGGAACTTCCTTCGCAGGGCCCGGGGAGAGAAGGCAGGGCTCCTCCAGACGATGGGCTGGGATCTGCGTGTCCCACTCTCCTCTCCGAGGGGAACTCGCAAGTGCCTTGTTGCAACGCCGTCTCCTCTCCTCCACTCTATGTTTGCAGAGACGCCCCTGCGAGGTTGGTTGGGCTCAGAGTGCGTGACCGGGCCCAGGCCCCCCCCGAGCAAGCTCCCCTGGCAGGGTAGGAATACAAGCCGGGCAGCCCCCATCCCCGGTTGGACACTCTCACCGCTGCTGTGCCCCGTGGGTGAACCAAGGGGTCCGCTGGGCCCACCGAGCAAGGAGGGCCCGCCTCCTCTGGGGGGCAAAGGAGTCTCTCCCCAGCTTGGTCTGTCGCTGCTGATTTGGGGGGCCTGTGCCAAGGCTGTCCCTCGCCCG